AAAAAAAAAAAAAAAAAAAAGAATTTACTTTAAAATTTCTTGTAGTGTAGGTTGTCGATGATGCATTCTCCCACCTTTTTTTTTCTTTTTAGTCGGAGTCTCACTTGGTTGCCCATGCTGCTGCCATGTTTAAGGCCACCGCAGCCTCAACCTGCTGGGCTCAAGCGACTGTTTCTGCCTCAGCCTTCGAAGTAGCTGAAACTATAGGCACGTGCTACCACGTCCAGCTAATTTTTTGATTTATTGTAGACACGAGGTCTTACCAAGTTACCCAGGCTGGTCTTGAACCCCTGAGCTCAGGTAATCTTCTGGCCTTGGCCTCCCAAAGTGCTAGAATTACAGGCTTGAGTCATAGCGCCTGGCCCCCCTTTTATTTTTTAAGTTTAAAAAAGTCTGTGTTCCGCCGGGCTCAGTGGCTCAGCCTGTAATCCCGCGCCTTTGGGAGGCTGAGGTGAGTGGATTGTCTGAGCCCACAGGCTCGAGACCCGCCTGGGCAGCGAGACCTCATCTTTACAATATATCAAAATATCAGCCGGGCGTGGTAGCGCATGCCAGTAATTCCGGCTACTTGGAAGGTTGAGGCGGAAAGATCGTCGGAGCCGAGCAGGTGGAGGCTGCGGTGGCCGGGAGCGGCCACTGCACTCCAGTCTGGGCGACAGAGTGAGACTCCAACTAAAAAAAAAAAAAAGAAAAGTCTGTGTTCCCCTTTTTACTTTTGAAAGATATTTTTGTTGGGTGTAGAAGTATGAATGGACAATTTTTCTTTACCTTTCCTCAGAGATTCTTTCCTTCTCGATATTTTAAAGATGGCTTCTAGTTTGCACAGTTTACAGCAAGAAGTCTGCTGCCATTCTTTTTGTTGTTGTTCTTTCTTTCTACATGATGTGTCTTTTCTCTCCGCGGCTATCTTTTAAGATCTTTTTTTCTTCATCACTGACTTTCAGCAATCTAATACAATATGATTTACATGGTTTCTTCTGCTTGGGATTGGTTAACTTTTTTTTTAAATATATGGATTTAGAGTTTCCATCAAATACAGAAATATTTCAAACATTGAAATTTTTTTGGCCTATGACTTAGTGATGAGCCCATAACACATGCATTAGACTACTTGATACTATTCTACAGGTTTTTGAAACTCTGTTCACTGTTTTTTCAGTTTTTTCCTGTCTTTAGACTGAACAGTTTCTATTCCTAATTCATTGATTTTTAAAAATCAATAATTAACCACTCTGCTAATTCTATCCACTCCAATTTTTGATTAGTTACTGTCTTTTTCATTTTTACAAGTTCAATCTGGGTTTTTTTGTATCTTTATTTCTCTCATGCTCATGTTTTCCTCTCCTGTTGACATGAGGAATATATTGACAATAGGTCTTTTATGTCATTATCTGCTAAGTCAATCAAATACATTATTTCTAAGTCTACCACTTTATTCTTTTCCCTGCTGAGTCATATTTTTTTGTTACTTTGCATGTCCAGTAATTTCTCATTAGATGTCAAACACTGTAAAATGTATGCTGTTGGGTAATGGATGTTGTTTCATTCCCTCAAAATGTATTATTAGTCTTTGCTCTGGCAGGCAATTCAATTACTTGGGGATTAGTAGTTTGACTCCTCTGAAGCTTGCTTTTAGCTTTTTTGTGTGGCTCCTCTGTAGTCTTTAGGACTAATTTAGCCCCACTAAAGCTATATCCCTTTGTGAACTCTACCTGCAGCTCCTTATTTACTAGGCTTCTTCATTTTAGCCAGTGGGAAAGCAAAATGTTCCCAGTCCTTCTGGGCAGAGGGAAAGCAAAATGTATGACAGCTCTAGGAATCATGTGGCCTTCCTTTCCATGGTTCTTTCCTCAGCCTCATGTAGTTTTCTCCTCAGCATGCACACATTTATATTCCGCCAACAATTCAAGGCCCCACTGCAGATCTTTAGGGCTCTCTGTGCAACTTTGTTTAGTCTAGTTCTGTCCCATAAATTCTAGCCAACTCAGACTCTCCGATCTCTGATTTAAACTCAACAATACCACAAGGGGTCCCTTTTCCATCCCTGCTGTTTGACAAGGAAAAAGTCTCCAGGCAGTAAGCTGGGACAATGGTAGGGCTCACTTCATCTATTTCCCTTCTCTAAATGATCATAATCCTGAAGCACTTGTTGAGCAGTATTGGAACACAATTCTTTTTATTTTTCTAAACTGATTTTTGCCTTGTTTACAACCAAAGATCAATTCCTGTAGGTGTTAATGCTTCATAAGCAGAGGTAATTAATTTTCTTTTTCTTTTTAATTTTTATTTTTAATTTTTTTGAGTCAGAGTCTCACTCTGTTACCCAGGCTGGAGGGCAGTGGCACGCTTCCGGCCACCGCAGCCTCAACCTGCTGGACTTAGGTGATCCTTCCACTCCAGTCTTCCAAGAACTACAGGCACGCACCACCACAGCTGGCTAATTTTTTTATTTATTGTAGAGACGAGGTCTCATCAAGTTGCCCAGGCTGGTCTGAACCCCTGGGCTCATGCAATCCTCTCGCCTTGGCCTCCCAAAGTGCTGCAATTACAGACTGAGCCACCGTGCCCAGCCGGCAATTAATTTTCTACATAGTAATTTCATCTTGTGAAATCAATTGTTCTCCATGCACATTTTTAAACAGATTTAATCCAATAATTTTTTCATATTAAGTTCATCAATGAGACATCTGCCACTATTTCTAAGAAACAAAAATATTTAGATCTAAATTTTATTATGAATACTAGGTTTTCCATCTACTTTTAGCGTCCCACTTGCCAAATTTCTTTTGTACATTTCTACCAGTAATAGTAATCATAAATTGAATGAAAGACTGACAACTGTATTTATTTTGTTAAACTATAAGATTTTAATAATTCTGAAGTGTTTATTATACTGTATTAAATTTACTGTAATGTATTATTATGCAGTCAAAATTTATCATCTCAAAATTCTTTATTTAATCTTTACTTTAGTTGCTGCTACAGTACTTCAAATTAATGCTACTTAGGGGTATAAGAAACTAAACAAATACTTTAAAAAGAAGAGAATTTTGGCAGTCTTACTATATGTAAGCAATCAAGATTAACATTTGAGACCTACCACAATGAAGAAGGCCTGGCAAACAACTGTC